GCAGTTTTGGAACAGGAAGGTAGGCCAGTTATATGTGTTTCACGCAAACTTTCTGTTGCTGAACAAGGTTATTCACAAACGCAGCGAGAAGCGTTCGCTGTGTTTTGGGCTGTTAAAAGACTTCATAAATATTTATTTGGAAAGAAGTTTACCATTGTTACTGATCATGAAGCTTTAAAGTTCATTTATTATCCTGACAAATCCTTAGCACGTTCCTCAGCTGCTATGGTTCAACGATGGAGTATTGCTTTGAGTGCTTATGACTATACGATTCAGCACAGGAGTGCAAAACAAATTCAACACGTTGACTACATTTCTCGACAACCATTACAAGATAGACCTGTTAATACTTCAGACTGCTTGTTAGTGCAACCTTTACCGGTGAGACGTCCAGATCTCATTAGAGAAACTCGTAGATACTTTGGATGTATACTCAGTGCTATACGGAAGGGTTGGAATGCTAATCTGAAACGTAGATTTCCTGTCTATTATTCAAAGCGGGACGAGTTATCTACTACTCCTGACGGTATTTTGTGTTTAAATGATCGTGTTGTTATTCCTCCTTCATTACGCAAACCTGTCCTTGATGATCTTCATAGTGGACATCTTGGTGTTGAGAAAATGAATTCCTTAGCAAGACTCACATGTTGGTGGCCAGAGATAAATGCAGATATATGTCGTACAGCAAACAATTGTGAGAAATGTCATAAGCTAAAAAGTCTGCCTTCGAAGTGGACTCCATGGCCAGTATCGTCTGAGGCCTGGCAGAGAATTCATGCAGACTACTGTGGTCCATTTCTTGGCAAATACTATACACTTGTAATTATTGATTCTTTTTCTAAGTGGCCTGAAGTTTTTTTCACAACTTCACCGAATTCTGACTTCACAATTCAAGCATTAAGGAAGGTGTTTAGTCGAGAAGGAGTTCCCATGGTGTTGGTGACTGATAATGGCTCTCATTTTGCTGCAGATGCAGTCACTAATTGGTTAAATGGTATAGGGTGCAGACATCTGTTTACGGCTCCCAGGCACCCTTGTTCCAATGATCAGGCAGAAAATTTCGTAAGAACATTGAAAATTGCTATTGATTCTATTGCTGCTTCGACATTCAATGAACTGGAGAGGGGAGTAGATACATTTCTACTTCAATATAGAAATGCTAAGCATTCTGTGACGAAAGAGACTCCATCAAAGCTATTAAAAGGAAGAATTCTCCGTTCGAATATGAGGTGTTTGGAGTCTGCAGAAGTTACGTATTATCGTGGTAATGATCTTCGACCAGCCACGGGGATCGTGGTGAAGAATGTTGGAAAATCTATGGTGCGAATTCTGGATATCAATGACTTGACCATACATAACCGACACGTTGATCAAATACAATACCAGAATCCAGGTGAGTCTGTTCCCATTTCGGTTGTTAATTATAATACTAATGAGTGCATTCTAGATAATACAGAGTCTACATCCAATACACCATCGGACAGATGTAAGATGAACTTAAGAAGAGGACGAACAATCGATTACAGACACTTACACTCCAATTCGAGCTGTGGCGGATGTGATGTTTAAATAAATCAATGACTTCTTCGTATTGATGACTGTTGTAATTTTGAATTCCAAATACAATACATTCGTTCGAGTTCATCTGATACTTCTTGATTAAATTGCGTTATTCCTGGGATTACTAGTTCATACTACAATTCAAATAATTCTGATTATCATACTTATCCATCTCTTTTGCTTTCTTTGCCTACCACTGTTCACTATCGTTCCTTAGACTTTTGGTTAATCTAGATCTGATTTGTTTACGCTCTTCATCGTTTTCAGAGCCTGATGGGATGAGTTTACGAGAATCCATCAGTGAAATAGACTAAGAAGAAATCCGTTGGTTTTTTGTAACCCTTTGGTATAAAATACTAATATATGTTATTGCTGTTTCCACAGCTGTTGTATATCTTTCCAAGCAGCATTTGGGTCAGTCTCGTTTACAGAACTGCCTAGATGTGAACTCAGTTGTTCCTGGAATTTACATTTGGTTTTCTCGTCCTCCAGTTTAATTCCAATGGGTCTTCTTAGTGTAGTTTTTTTGCGTCCACTGAGGCGCAAACAAATGCGTGCTCGTACCAAAGCGTGATCAGAGTGTGTACATATATTCCAGAACGAGCGACAATCTCTTGTCGAGCCTCTTCAACGGTGACTGATGGCAATATGGTCTATTTGAGTCCATCGTTGGTTTGGTGCAGGTGGTCGTCATGTTAGACGATGCTATCCTTATGCTTAAAATTATAGTTTCCTGAAAATAAACGGTTTTCTAAGCATAGTTGCAACAGACTATCACCATTATCTGTTCGCTGAACGGGGATACCAAAATACTCACCTTAATGTCCTCCTGTCTGATTTAAGCGGCCTAATTGGGCATTAAAATCACCCGCTACGTGTACTATGTCTGAGCGTTTAGCTTTTTGAAGCTCAGAGAGTTTTCTGTAAAAATCATCTTTCACTTCATCATGGCTGCAATCAGAGGGAGCGTAGGTAGAGACGATGAAAAGTCAGCGACGCGGGTTCTTACCCTTCCGAGTTCTTGTGAAGGCCTTTATCTGAAAGGCACACAGGCGACTGTTAACGGGGACTCATTCTAGTAGTGCTTGTTCTGCCCTCATACTTAGTGCTATACCTACACCCGTTAATCCACAAGAACTTTCTTTCAAGTAGCCAGATACACCGAGGGTGTGTTCCGTTGGTTCTCCTTTTCGGCGAGGTGAGGTCAAGGGAATGACACCAGGATCCTGTTTGTGTGTTTCGGAGACTGTACATCATTGGTACGATAATCTAGGGTTTTAGCCAAGGGAGTCTGTTGGCCGATTTGATACAGTTTGCATACGTTGACGGCTTGAAGGTGTATTTTGGAACGAGGTTTTAATAGACCTGTGGCAGTGTTTTGCGCACTAGAATCGTTGTCTATAGTGACACTTGTAGAGAAGGCCAACAGAGGGAGTTAGGTAATGAAAGTGGATGTAGGAGGAGTAGTAGAATTCGAAGAGTGAGATTGGTTATGAATACAGTCATCTTGAGTGCCGTTAGAGGTATGAGAGCGGTTTGCACTTTCCGGTCGCCTACATTGTGTAAGGATTCTTCTGGAGTTTCTTGAAAAAGAAATTGGATTAGAGGTGGTCTTAGTGACCTGAGATCGTGACCGCAGTGCCCAAGGGACAACTGCTTGAGGTAGATCACACACGACCTTTTTGTGAATGATTTTTAGATTAGCTCAGTATTGTATTGTATCTTATTTCTGTAGACAAAAATCCGTGGGATAAGGTGAGATGTGTAATTTTAGTGTCAATCATTTCTAACCTCACCACTCCTTGTGGGAAGACAGCGTTGCTGTTATGCTGGTTGTCTGAAAGGAACACTTTACTGTCGTCACACCCCTGTATAGTCAGCAGGTACGGCTTCACCTTGCAGCTTTTAGTTTTACCGCTCTTCAACCGACCTTCCTGGTATGGTAGGACCTTGAGGAAAAATTGTTCCAGCTATTATAGCTCGATTGGTTCATCACGATAGGAAAGCCCAAACACCACGTGAAGGTAGAAGCAACGGTCGGGATTCTACTTCATGAACGGCTGCTATCACAGAACTGCGATTTTCTTAATACCGCAGAAATCATACCTCAGTAACCGCTTGAAATACCCTAATAATATACAAGGTTGATGGAGACTAGTCTCATGGCTATGTACCAACCTATACTTAAAGGATACCGCCCCACATCTCTTGGATTACACCTAGGGGGCCGAGAAACTCCCCACTATTGTTCAGTAGGGAGGTTAACGTCTTTCTCCGTAAGGGAAGGAAAATGTGGGATAGATTTAGGTTACTGGGGATTGATGAGGCAAAATATCAGCATCAAGAAGTCCGGAATACCTGTACCTCGACCCTCCGTAAGTCTAGAAAGCTGTATGAAACGAAAATTGTTAAGGAATCCATAGAATGTCCTAATCGCTTGTATTGCTACATAAACCAGAGGACAAAAAGAAGAAATGTTCCTGCACTATGGGGAGACAGTACTGCCTTATCATTAGTGGAGGACGACTTTGGCAAAACTCAAGTATTCTCAAACTACTTTAGCAATGTGTATACCATAGAAACACCTTTCCTACCAGTCCATGGAAATCCTCCCACACAAACACTGGACAGCGTAACCATTAAAGAACTCGATGTCATTGGTCTGCTAGTTAAGCTTGACAAAGGCAAATCCACTGGACCCGATGGACTGCATCCTAGGTCACTAAAGGAATTAGCTAACTTGTTGCAAACCCCTTAAGTATATGTTTTAATCTAACATTAACCTAGGGTCGTCTACCAAATGACTGGAAGAACGCCTTAGTAGGTCCTGTCTTCAAAACAGGTAAAAAACATAAACCTGAGAATTACCGACCTATTAGCCTAACTAGTGTGGTTGTTAAAATCCTAAAATAGATTATTCGGAAGGAGCTGTTTAAGTACCTCGATGAAAACCGGATCCTGTCGGAGAAGCAGCATGGTTTTAGAACAGGTCATTCTTGTCTCACTAACTTATTAGTCGTTCGTGAAGGCTGCTGCGCTCTTAAAAACCAAAAGTTACCTGTAGACGTAGCTGACATCGACTTCGGCAAAGCTTTCGACAGAGTTCCGCACAACCGGCTGTTATATAAACCAAGGAAAGTCGGGTTTGGAGGCAATCTATTGATGTGCATAAAAACGTCCTAGTTGGGCGGCAACAAAGAGTATGGGTGAACTCCAAGTTGTCTAGCAGGAAACCGTGCTTAGTGGAGTCCCCCAGGACACTGTTTTGGGGCCAATGTTATTCCTCTTGTATGTAAATAACCTTCCTCGTTTACTATCGACATCGGTCTTACTCTATGCTGACGCTGCCTTTGGAAAAACTTACAAACTGTCGAGGTGGCGCGCCTATCGTTTTACGGTAGTTTAACCTTCAAGCCCACAGCGAGCTCCGTATACGAACGATGCCAGTGGATCGTCGCGCGACAAGGTTGCGAGTTAAAGTATGGTTTCGTTTTGTGTCAAATATAGGACTAGAAACATAGTAAGAAGCAGAAAAGTGACGAGGAAATAGAATCTGATAGTGGAGCGAGTTCGTAAGCGTTCTGTTTTCACAACTCACTAACTGATTTCAGCGTTGGGTCTGAAACAGAATCTGATGTCTCAGTACATGAAAGTGCTCATGAGAAGAAAGTACGACTTACAAAAAAGGCTATCCAAAAAGCACTTGAAACAGGTAATTTTGCACGTTTTTATTTCTCCAGTTGGTTCGGATGACGAAAAGTACGAAGCACTTTCACTACGTCTCAAAGAAGAAGCACTTCAGGCTAAGGGAAAGTTTTTAGCGAAATTCGCTCATCAGGTTAGTGTAAGCCCAAATAAGTTCTATCATTTAGATCAAATTCTTGAATAAAGAGGAAATTATACTTCTAAGAGGTCATCGAAAATCTGTCTCTTGTGTATGTATATCTGAAGATGGCAAATTTGCCTTCACTGGAGGGAAGGATTCTTCGGTAATTAAATGTAAGTTATTTGTTGACATCCTAAGAGTTTCTAGGGGATCTAAACACAATGGTAAAACTGTGTTCTATACCTGGGGGGAAACGTGAAACAAAATATCCCTATCATACTGGCCCGATTCTGTCTATTTGCATATCCAGTGACAGTAAATATTTAGTAAGTTGAAGTTATTCAGATTTAAATTGGTAACAGAAATCGCCTTATTTTGTTAATTTTCGTCCAAATAGCTCTCCGTAGCAAAAGAACATGCATCCTTGGTCACGCTTACTTCAAATAACGTAATTGTTCTTCAGGGTTGAGTTACATTTCTTATGGATACTGTATGCTAATACAGCCAGTTAGCTTGTCGTTCGAAACAACAGTAACCTAGTCACATGGCTTCACTTTCTTAAAACGTAATATGAACCGCTTACAACTTAATAAATTATTTTTACTTTTTAACGGTGATTAGCAATAAATCTGTAGTTTTAAGCAATCCGTCCGCCAATTGACCACATTCTTTTAAAATCCCAAAAAATATTTAACATATAACCAGGGGTTTCCGATCCGTAATCTTGACTGCGTCAGTATCTAGTGAGGTATGGTTTACTGATGGATGGAGACAGTTCAAACTATCAGGAAGTATTTGAAAGATCCAATGAAATTGAGCTATTCGTTCTTTTATTAGGTGGACACTTAAGGGTCAGAATTGAGGACAAACAGGGATGTAGCATACTGTATTTCACAGGTGTTTATCTCCTTACATCTTTTCATCTAAGCCCACGAAAATAAGCGGGATAAAAGTAGTTACAACAAGAAAGTCAGAGAATAACGGGGGAAACCATGAGTCTTAACCATAAAACTTAAGATAGGGGATAAAATCTATCGTATCCTAGGTTAGTTTTTGCTTTAATTTAATTGCACTTCTGTATTTCTTTTGTACGGAAGGCACTAACTTATAGTGACGACTGAGAATATATGAAATACTCCATCCAAAGAATTTATAATCAAGCTCAGTAACAACAGTTGAGTTGTCTTTACTTAACTGCTTTAATATTCGACGTTGTTAGATTGCTTCAATAGTGTTGAAGTGCACGGCGTGTTTAACGTGTAGCAGTATATACAACAACTCCGCCTGAGTGGGTCGGAGAAAGCTGGTCGGCGGCCTATGCTCCATTGGGAGTAACAGGCGTAAGTAAGTATAAACAACATTCTAGCCATACCGGCACTTAATTTTCCACCTAAATTTGTGGTTACAGTTAGGTCTATATTAGATCTTTTATACACTGGAATGTTGAATCATGTTACCTATAGGGAGAATTCAGTTTAAGGAAATTACTAAAGTAGACCATAAAGACTTGGTTAAGGAGCGAGCACTTAAATATAATATAGGCAAGTTTAAAACATGTTATCGATATATGGGATTTGGAGCAAAACCGTACCAATTGTAATCTGTTTCGTAAATCTGCAAACAAATTTCCTCACAAAGTGGTTTCTTACTCGGATGTGATTCATTTCGTGGTATATCTACACATCTAACAAATCCACTGTCGTTTTACGTTAATTGCTTTAGAATAAATTATGGTATTACACAACTTTACACATCAAATTATTCCCATCTACCACATCCTTTAGGCTTCCTCCGGTATGGACCATTCCGTTATAATATGGAACCCACAGGATATGAAAGTTTTCATGAAACTACTGCACCATAAGGTACCAGTCACAGTGAGTATAATCATTTTCCTCATTAGTATTTTATCATTCAGGCCGTTAGTTTTAGATGCCATTCACACATGTTGTTTACAGCAGATTGTTCTGGTCGTGTTTGTGTTTGGAATATGCCTTTGAAACAGGTATTACAAGACCAAGGGTAGGTGTTGATTGCTTTTCAAATTTACATTCTTGTTCTTTACTTTACCACAGTCTTCGTTTCCTTTTACATGTGCACCGTGTTGACGAGCGTCAGCTAGCACGTAACCTAGATCCAAAGTTCTCTGTCGATTACATTCAGCCGTATAACAGCACCACAATGTATATTACTATTTATTGATCTAAAAGGTAGTCGTATTAGGTAGCTTTGGTGCTCTCGAAGGTGAGGAGGGTCCACTTTCCTTCTCGAAATGCTCTTATAGTACACGTATATAGCCACTGCCTTCCTGCGGCGGGGGTTTCTACAAAATTGAGGGGACGAAAAGCGGATATCCGGCGCTCTAGCCGGGTTTGTGGATATGGAGGATCCACCTAGGGGAGTTGGAAAACCTTGATTCCAAAATAACAGTGCGCATGGACTCCAGTATCCTGAAAGAACAAATAGCGTATGAACCTATTGTTGGTCACCGGCTACCACGGAACTGCATCTCGTAATGCTGCTCCACTGTCTTTTGGATTAGACAGATTAAAGGGTCGGAGAGTGGTCCCTTATGAGGACCACCCGGGTTCAGTGACATATTTTGATATCCCTTTGCGCCAAGGTTTATGAATTTAGATAAACAAATAATAAATATTAGGACTACCAAGCTGGTTTTTATGTTATTTTGACGTTTGACCCGGTTTATCATCAACATGGGTAAAGCTTCTCGTTTGTAATCTCTGTTTAAATTTTCCCAGTAATAATGAGTTTCTGGTAAAAACATGTCTACTATTAGTGCCACTATCAGTCAGTCAGTCAGTTACAACGTAGAACTTCGTACGTACGTACATCAGTTCGAGTTGCCATACCACAGCACAGAGCTGCAGTTGTCGATAGTGGTAGAAGTAGTAAGAGTATAAGCAGTAATCCGAAAGATTAAGGTTTGAAAATGTTATTGAAGGAGTATAATACAGTGAAATAAATTTGGAAAGAGAAAAAGGATACAGACATGAAGAATTCAGAAGATTAAAATTTGGTAGAACACAAAGAGTAGATGCACCTTCGCCATTGCAAACGATTTTGAGGCATGTCATCTTATCAATCTTAATGTCTTTTTTGTCGCCAAAATCTTAGTGTCCATTAAAATTTTATTATAGCGTAAACAAACCACTGTTTCTTTTCAGTTTGTGTTAATTGATTTTTACTTCAAATACAGGGCAAGAACAAATATCGAAGTGTTAGGATTATGTGGTTTGGTATCTGAACGGTGTGTTTCATGTTCTGGGTTCGGTGGTCCTGGGGTCTGCGTTTGGAAAGTTCCAGAAGAAATCTGTGTTCAGTATAGTACGAAAAACACATTAGAGTTAGTTTCAGTATATTTTTAGTAATTTGTTATCGTTGAACTTAATGTCTACTCAAATTCATTCTGAATGTTCTTGTTTTATTAAATTACAGGAGTTCAGTAGAATGCATTTATGCAGTCAATGACGAAATTTTCATAGGGGGTTCTTCTACAAAGTAAGATTTATCAATTTTGTCGAGTATTTCATTACCGTTTATCTATTCATATACAATTTACAATTCACTTCTCTCTATTCATTTTAGTACTATTTATATTTGGCATTCAAGTAGAGGTAGCCCTGTATTTACTGTTTCTCCTGCTCATCCTGTGGCAAAATTATGCCCACCGTCGATATCAGAGCCTTTTATCCGACCAGTTGCGAATTGGGTTACTGCCATTGCTGGTCTATATGGAACTGACCTGATCGCTTCAGGTTCCTCCACAGGGCACATACAATTTTGGCGACTTGTTCAGCCACAATTAGAACGTTCAAATGAAGTTAAAGTACAACAACAACTACGAACACAAGTCAGTATTGAACGCATACCTGGTTTGAGTATTTCATTGGTAAGCTTTAATCATATTCGATAACTGTAGGGTTTTTTATAGTTTCAATTTTAATTTAGTGAGGCTTATCTGAGATTCTAGACCTTCATTTATTAGGGTGGTTGGGATACAGATTATGTACGCCTAACCACCACGACTTCTAACACAGAAATAACATAGACTAGGAACGGCCAAATCAAGGTGGCATCAGTCCATAAAGTTACTAACTTTTGGACTGAGCTGTGTGCGTAGGTCCCGTTTACCTGGTTGAAATCCTCGTGACTATCATAATCGATCGATAGTAACATTGTGCAAGTTGGCTCAAAATCAGTTGCATTGGCGCAGATACCTACATTCTATATTTTCCCTGGCATCTTGAGTTTAAAGAGTATGTAACACTTTTTTATTCTTCATATTCATTCTTTCCGAGTCATAGTCTATGCCTAATGTTTTCGACTAATACTAATACTGTAATTACTTTTACTACTCTTATATTTGTCTCGATAATTTAATCTCCCTCTGCCTATCATATATCGTGGAAAATCGAACTAACGCAACTATATTTCTGATAACTGACTGGAACTTAACTATTGGTGGGCCATTCGTACGAGTCTTATCTTGCTGGTATTGTTAGCTTTTTTGTATTTTGCTATTTTCGACATTTGTATTGTAGTCGGTTACTTTTTAAATCCAGTTATTAACGTTGAACAGTATAAACAAAAATGCTTTGACATTCGATTTGTTCTATCACATATACATAGATCTAAGTGCTATCCATTTCTTTACTGTGTATTTGATATATTTAGTTCCCAGAACTGATTTACTTTATTCTTGGTTGTTTTTTTCCCCTTACTAGGGTGGTTTTATCAATGGGCTGGCTTTCTCTTCTGATCGTCGATATTTGGCTGTTTGTCTAGGTCAGGAACATCGGTTCGGTCATTGGGAGCCTAGACGTCATGTCACTAATGGTTTACTTCTAATCCCACTGAATGTATCCTAGTAAGTTTATAGTGATATTTTTAAGTTAATACTAAGTAATTTATGCTCATTGTGTTAGATTTAAGAGTGTTGTTAAAGATGTTCATTAACTTTATATCTCCTTTCTTTTCGTTCTAGGTTTATGATTTCCTCATGATGATTAACTTAACAGAAGTTGTAAATCAAAAACTTTTTTAAAATAAACTTGTTTTGATACATAGTTTCTCTTTATTTTGCTATCAAACGACTAGTCAATTGATCAACCGTTGTTTTATGCTTTTGAAATGTGGTTTTTAGATTGATTTTCAGCATATCTCTTCGGTATAACAATCAAAGCTTTTTTAATATATTTGTTACTGAACACGTAATCTTAATACTAGCTGTATCTAAAATGTCTATATGTTATGAATTTGTTGAGTCTCCTTCTCGTGCGTACGTTTGCACTCATTAAAAAGTTCCAGTTTTTTTGGCTTATTAAAATCAAATTTGGGACACAGCTCTCTGTATTAAAATGTAGCCCCCAAATGCCCTGGTACGGCCGAGAGTGGGGAGAGTCACCTCTCCCTCTCGAAATGCTCTCATATGGCCAGCGAATATATAGCCTCTGCCAGGGAAGTCCTACTCACTGCCTTCTCGTGGCGAGGGTGTTGTTTACGAAAGTGAGTAGACGAAAAGCGAATGTCTGGCGCTTTAACCGGGTTGGTGGACATGGAAAGTTCACCTAGGGGAGTTGGAAAAACCCTGATTCAAAACCAATGGTGCACATGGGCTCCAGTATCCTGAGGGAACAAATGGCGTACGAATCTCAACCGTTGATCACCGGCTACCATGGGACTGCATCTCCTTACGATGCTCCACTGCCTTGTGGATCAGACATCCAGGTCAAAGGCTCCGGGTGTGGCCCATTAAGAAAACCACCTGCTTCAGTCTGGGCACCTGGGCAGTATCTCAGCCCTCACACAAATTGAATGAGATTTGTGCGGCGCATATTTATCTGGTGCTTCCTTGTACCAATATTTATGTGTTTAAATAAATAAATAAATAAATCCGCATAAGATTTTTTGTGTATGCCTTTAACCAGCATATGGACTTAAAATAAACTTATCCTTCATGTAGGACTCAGTCTTCGTATAAGTCTAAAACAACTTAGTGACTTCACGTTCCTAGTGTGTATTCACATGGTCGATTAATTAATACTTCTTTTGAAATATATTCAGTGGAAATTTGAGCTCAATTTTGTAAATATTAGGATCACTTCAGTATTTAATCAGATCAATTAAGTTTCCTTAATGCTCCATAAACTCAGTGGGTAAAGCCTTCGGTCTTCAACCACTTAGTCCCTAGTTCTAGCCCCGACCTCCGGCTTCAGAAACCGGGGAGTATCATTTGCTTTGACACTTAGAATGTGGTGCATACCCAAATATCTGATGAATGAGTTAGTTTAAAGAACTTTGTATTTCGGCCATTCATGTTCTCCGTATATTAAATTTGTGGAAGTTCACTTACTTAAAAGTGGGATGTACTTGGAGTACGAAAATGAAAAATTTCTTTAACCGAATAAGCACATTTTCACAAAGTCTTAAAAATTTTTCAACAAAATTTGTGTAATAGAAAACTGTAAGTAAGCAGGATCAGCGTCTTTATATTTGTTATACCACAACATACCGTTGAGGAAATCTGCTTCTATACTCAGCTGTTTAGTGTTAAATAATATTTCGATGCAGAGACGAATATTCATTTCACTAGTAGAAAACAGATGTTTTATATGTAATATGTACAAAAGAAACCAGTGATGTCCCAGTAACAAACATTAACAGTTAGATATGCGGTTGCAACACAACTCTATGTCGGTCTTTGCCAGTGTATTTTGTATTGTTGTCTACCATATTGCTTTTTGATTGATTTTTCATCCGAATAACTTTCTCAAAAGCTTAGTCTTTGTGTACAAAGACTTTTGAATAGTGTAGAAGCCGAACATAACAACTAGTGTTTGGAGTTAAATTAAAAAGTTAAGCAGTAGTCAATGGACTGAATCAGTAATCCACATCAGAAAGGAACTTCGGACGCTATAACGGAATAGAAACAGCAGATAGATGGTCATTTTGTCACACAACGCTTCTGTGTTGTGTAGGACTGGGACCTGTTCGTCAAGACTCGTAGGTTGCAGTCCTAGAGATGGCACTCAGCGGCTTGCGACGCTATCAGATATGGCTCATAACCGAAGCCAATACCAGTGCGTGTGTAATTTTGTTTTACATCCTTTATAAAATTGAAAGGAACTCCTAAACGGAAGCAGTCTTCCTTGCTCCTAATTGTAATTTAATTGTGTCTACTACTATGTCATATTTTTGTTCATTTGTTTTTTTACTAAACTACCGTCCCCTCTATTTCTGTACTTGATCATCTTATGTGAAGAAATTATCTTCAGTACCTAGTTCTTGCAAACTTTTTGTATAATGGATAAAATAAAATAAATAATCCGGGTGTACTCGTTTTGTATCTGCTTCGTATTTATGTTTATATTTAGCCATCAACATATCAGTGCTTTACTAAGGTATATTAGTAAGGGTTTCAAATGAGAGTTCTCTTCATTCGACTTAACTAGTTTTCTTTTAATATACATTCTCTAAATTCTTACTGAAAAGACTTTCAACAGTCGTCTTGCTTGTGGCCTTATGATTTCTCATATTAAGGAAGGCTTGATTAGCTAGATATGGGTGGTCGAGTATCCTCATGGACAGTAATCAACTGAAGAATCAGTAGTTCAGGACAGTATTCGCCAACACCTTACCGACGATCAGACTTCTTAATCTTGCAAAGAAGGCTAACCTCAAGGCACATTATTCCAATTGCATTGATTTACCAAGATAATACGTCTATCACCCAATACTGTCATTATTATCATTCTTGAGAGGAGGGAACAGTGATCTAAGTTGTAGACTGAATTCCAACTCAATGTTTTAAATTTATCATGATACCTGAAAATTCTTGGTTCGGTCCGTGGCTGTCTGTTGGTATGAAGTCCAAGAGACTCAGCTTGAGGAGAGATATATGCAGTTCTACGCAACTTTTAGTAAATCGCAAAATAATATCAGTCTGTGACAAAATCTAACTTCAAACTGAACAATCCTCACTAACTCTCCTTTCGTTATACTGTGAACCTATTACTTTGATGCGGTTAGTAGAATCAAATTTGATATCGTTACTAGTAAATCCCAGGACTTTTCAATGCGTACCTTACTAAGTACGAATGGACCAGTACTCAAAGTCACCTACAGATCAATGTGCACACTTGGAAGTATTGAATTGTGTAATTCGAATTCAGTGCACGAAAATATGCAAAGTAATTGTCACTGAATTTAGACAGTACGAGTGATCACATTTCTAATGTGCGGCAAACATCAACTTTAAGCTCAAGATGGTGCTTCATTATTTTAATGGAAATTATATAGTAGAAATTGGACAAAAATTCTAATTAGATGGAGTCAAGGAGAAAATAAACACTTGGAATAATAGACAATGATGTACGTATTAAAATTGATCACAATAGTTGCACACTTCTGAAAACAATCCAGTGGAATAGCATCTGTCTTAAGTTTCTATCTTAACTCACCTACCTGAATTTTAATGGCATTATTGTTTTATCAGTATGGGGTTGCGGAGTTTGTTAAGTTTTTGACTGAGATCTGGAATCGATCGATGGTTGTGCAATTTCGTTGATTGGTTGGAGTCAAACATGAACACCGTCGGGTGCCGGCTCAGTGGTCTGGAGGTTAAGCATTTACTCGCCAGACGGAAAATCCCGGATTCAGATCCAGAGTGCGGAGTCGTGGATGCGCACTGCTGAGGTGCCCCGTAACGTGGCGAAATGCCCGTCCAGGTTTTCCATGGTGGTCTAACATCGATTGACTCCTGATCTCAATCAAAAGATTATTGTTTTAACTTATATTAACATGAAAGTAGTAGCTGATTAATTTAAAAAGCAGACGAGTGCAACACAAGTGGTTAAATTAATTATTTGAAATAGAAGCGTTTACATGTATATGTGCATTTATTTACCCTTTGGTACAACATATGATCATGTGGAAAAAGTAAACCGAAAATAATAATAAAGATATGAGTTACGTCTGGTATTTAACTTTAGCTGGGATTTATTTATTATTTACAGTAATGATAAATAATATCATTGTGCATTTTTTCAAACCTGAAATTATAAAATCACTGTAGTTTCATTCGTTTATAAGAAATGCTTCCCTTTTTATCTTGTACATTGAAGATACATATTTGTTTACAACATATTGATAATGTTATAGTTTCTGCATTCTATGTATTACTAACGCATTTCCATCATGTTTTATGTAAAATGACATATTCTGTTGATTAGGTGTGAATTAACATATCACTTACTAATTCATATTGAAATGTTAGTGTTTAGGTGGCTATAAGTAAAAAGCAGGAGGTATGGTGGTTACCACTTATCAGCAAATCGCACCTGATATCTTGGGAAAATAACTGAATGATAACATCTTTGACTGAGACAATGAGGGTCCATCATATGAAATGAAGTATTAGTCCTTACGAGACTTTGGATAAGCCTTACTGGCTAGTGCCAAACTATGAGTTATTCTCAATCACGTAACATCAAAACTATCACGTCCTGAGTTATTCATCATGGTGACTATATTGAGACTTGATGGGTGGAGTGCATTCAGCACAAGGACTAAACAAATAATGATATTATATGGTTGAATTCAGAAGTCAGTTGAAGCTAGACCACCATAGAAGACCTGGAAGCACTGGATGGCCTTTTTGTCCTATTGTGGGACTCCTCAGCAGTGCGCATCCACACTCCCGCCTCGCGAGATTCGAACATAGAACCTATCAGTTTTGCGTGCGAGCGCTTAACCTTTAGACCACTGAACCGGCATCTTACTGTGTTAATGTCTAATTTCAACCAATCCACGAAATTGAGCCACCGTTCACCATTATCTTCAGTGAGTTACTATCTCACAACAGACCCAGTTAAACTCCACTGGTCACTGCCTTTCACTAGAACTCCAGGAAATACCTATTGTAGCCATTCACTAGTCATAATAATTAGTATGCGATTAGCAATTGGTATATAGTGCTGGTTATTTATGTATGGCAGTAGACAGTAGGTTTGAGTTCGGTTTATTTAACTTAAAGACAGAATTCTGAAACTATGTTTTATTATTTGACTAATTTTCAGGACTATTCAATATGATATTAGCTGAAGAATAATCAACCACTGGGATTTATACTATAAAATCGATGGGTCGATCTAATCCATCGGGTAATTCTAGAAAAATGCCAGTTAAATTATCAGCTTATAATTTAGTCTATCATAAATTCTAACTCACTGTATACTCCGGTTGATGGTTCGCAAGACTGAATTATACAGCACACCACATCAATTTTGCGTATTATGTCTCACATTCAAACAGTTCAATCTATCGAATTACTATAATTTCATCACTATGATCTCTACAGACTCTTTGTAGTCTATCTACATTATATAAATAACTTAATAATCGTTAGGATAGGGTTTTTCTGTCTCTTTGATGTGTAATTATTACTGTTTGTCGATTTGATATGTCACAAATTACTTGTTGGTATTTCTATGCCTTTTCTTGTTGGTCGTTTTCATTTTCAATTACAGTACCGAATGTAGTTGTAATGTCGGTTGGTATGTTAAGCTCATATACTTTATTCTAGCTTCTGGACAAGCTAATTCACCTGTCCATCATGAGTCATGTTTTCACCCTGTCAATTATTCACTTATTAACCCCAACTTCTTTTTATATGAGCGTAGGTGTGTGTAGACTTCTTATCCTATTCATCGCATGTCTGTAATTTAATCTTGACTATAAATATTGATTTAACGCTTGATCAAAGTGAGTCGGCTTATCCACCATCTCCAATACGTGTCCCTTTTGTTTCGCTCGCTTATATTTGCTAATGTGCCTTTAACTTTTTGGCCTGCTTCATTTGTCAATAAAACTGTAGCTGCTGCTTCTCTTTGCCTTCTGATTTTATGCACCGATAAAATTTTTATTATAACAGGTGAACGATTAGCGTAGCACGGCACTACATAGTATTGCGTATAGAATTCCAACCAGGTATTTGTAGGTAAACACTAAATTTTACAGAACTAATATTGCATAAAAATATTCAGGTTTCATAGTTAGAAACAAAAGGCATTAGGTGATATTTTTAAAAGTTTGAATATTTGTAATCTTGAGAAACCATGTAATAGCCTCAAGTTATCAAAAAAACAATTTTACATTCATTATTTGTATTTAACTTCAGTTAATAGCTAACTGTGTATAGATCTTTACTATTTTGTTGACTTGTTTACATATTACTGGAAAGTTTGAATTTGGTTTTGAAAACTCAGAAAATTCATTCCGGTAAATGCTTCTTTTACCATTGAATTTGGGTTTGCCGATATTGACATAGTTATGAAACATGACGAACGCCATTTAAATCCGGCATAGAGCCCTGTATAAATACTTTTTAGATATTCTAATATGAAGAAACAACACATCTTTTGCTTCATAGTTTTCAGTATTTGTAATATAAATTACTTTCGAAATGCTTCGGTCCTAATGTTCCTTATCACATTAGGCAATTTAATCATTTCTCCTCTTATACTACGAAACTGTCATTTTATTATTATTATTATTATCAAAAGGGGTTTTGTGGAGATTTAGTATTTTCATAGTTGAAAGCATGAGTCAATTGAAGCTAGACCACCAGGGAAAACCTAGAAGCACTGGAAGGTCGTTTCGTCCTATTGTGGAACTCTTCAGCAGTGCGCATCCACGACCTCGCCACGCGAGATTCGAACCCAGGACCTACCAGTCTGGAGTTAGACATTAACACCATGGGATGCCGGCTCAATGGTCTATCGCTTAAGCGCTCTGGCGCGGGACTAGTAGGTCGTGGATGTACACTGCTGAGGAGTCTCACAATAGGACGAAACGGCCGTCAAGCAGTGCTTCCAGGTTGTCCGTAGTGGTCTAGCTTCAATTGACTCACGCTTTCAACTACGTTATTTTATTCACTAATGAAAATATTCGTCCAGACATTTTACTTATCTTCAAAAATTTTTCATATAAATGATCTAGTCATTATTTTCATAGTAAGTTTACACATGATTATCAATCAGCTCGTCTATGGGTAAGAGAAGATACCAACAAAGTATCAGTGGATTCATGGTATACCGTAAAAATGATCTCTTCTTAATTTGTGACAAACGAATTGTATGGAAAAGCAATAATCATCCGAGTATCTTACAACATTACAATCTATTCTAGATGGAAACATGTTCATTCTTACTAGAAACAGTAACATTGTAGTAAACAAGAATACAAGTGGGGACAATTGAATGTATTTAAGCTCAAATTACAGACTATCTCATTAAATTCTGATAACCATACAATCAACAGTTAATTTGCAAAATAACAATCAATTGTCTCAATCTTCACTGTTCTTTCTGCAAATATCAGTCCGTGTTCTCTGATTTCATTGTTCATTCATTGTCGTACCGATTGCGCTTCATTTCTTTTCGTTCCTTATCGATCTTCTGCCAAAATACATTCTATGTCTGACCATCACCATATACTACTTATGTGGATATAAGTAGACCGCACCACAACATTACAATGTACCAATTGGATTCAACTGGTAAACTCTTGTATTTCATTCCTTTACTTGTGAAAATTCTTTAGAGTATGTCACATTTTTAAATTTTGCTTATCTCAGTCAATTCTCGCTGTAATGAATGCATAATTTCTAATAAACGTTTTACTATGAATGAACGTTTTTAGTAATCGAAAACTCGACACTGTTTTAATCTATTTTTTGAAGTTCCTACTAATATTAGATCTCTTCTGATTTAGGAGTTAAACTAGAAAGAAATCTAAGTTTGAATTTTGATTATTGTACTGTATACACATTGGCGTTGGATATCATTGTTTAGTTTACTGTTCTTCATTGGGTGTTAACCACTTCGAAGTTATGTCACACTAGAATGCAACAAATCTAGTCCATTTGAATCCACATTTTAACAACGGTAATCTTCATAGTTTACTCATCTTTCGAGTAAAATATTTATCATTGACTGACATCATTTAGAAAACTAATGAAAACAAAAAAATATTTAACAGCTATTTTTGCGCGTATGAGATTTTGTAGTTGTATAGGTAACCATTGTCTATATGTGATCAAATTCAAACTAGGTCAATGTGTTTTATCATTTCAGTAATTCTCCAGCTATTGAAATAATTAACAAACTTGTTAGACGGCTAATGAAAACCAGGAAACACTGTAACTGTTTGCTTGTGGTTTGTTACTTCTCAGAAGTACATCCACTCTAGGTATCTGCCCTGGTACGGCCGAGAACGCGGAGAGTCCGCTCTCTCTCTCTCTCTCGAAATGGCCACTCGTATATAGCCTCTGCCAGGAAGTCCTACTCACTGCCTTCTCGCAGTGGTATTACTGTTGTTTACGAAATCGAAAGGACGAGAAGCAAATGTCCGGCGCTTTAAACGGGTTGGTGGACACGGAAAGTCCACCTAGGGGATTTGGCAAACCCTGATTCCAAACCAATGGTGCACATGGATTCCAGTATCCTTAAGGAACAAATGGTGTATGAACCAGTCGTTGCTCACCGGCTACCATGAGACTGCATCTCCTTAAGATGCTCCACTGCCTTGTGGATGAGATCTTTAGGTCAAAGGCTCCGGGTGTGGCGCCCTAAGAAAACCACCTGCCTCGGTTTGGGCACCCGGGCATTATCATAGACCTAACAGAAATGGAATGAGTTTTGTTTGGCGCATATATATCTGGTGCCCCTTTGTACCAATATTTATGTGCTTAAATAAATAAATCTGCTGAGAGAAATAGATATTTGCACTCTATAGTGAATTGATTGTAGTCAGATATAAACATCATTGGATATAGACTCGATAGTCTGAAGTTTAAGGTCTCACTGGAATTCCTGAATTAGATGAGAAATCATGGTTACTCACTTATGAGTAGTCCCCTACCACAACGAAACAACTGTCCAATGCTTCTTGGTTTTCAATAATTGTTTAGCTTAGGTTAGATTGTGACCTCATTAACATTCAATTCTCCAATTGACTTCAGTTGATTATAAAAACTTACTTCAAATGAAATAATTCTTTTATAAATCACCTATCTACATTATAAATTTTTAGTAGACCAACATATTTGAAATCATATTTTTATTGTTTATTCAATAAATCATTCGTATAAATAATTAATTTATAATTTCTAATTGTTAATATCATTGTTACATGTATATATATACCTTTTTTCTGGGAACGTTTCTTTTGTCTATGAATTCCGCCTTTTCTTTTCTCTCCCTAATCATCTTTACTTCATCAATTATTATATCTTTACTGTATAGTAAACTATTTGATGATGGAATCTTCTAATGATAAATTCATCTACTTGTATCTTTCTTCTCTTGGATAACTTATTATGTTAATGATGATATTTATGGAATGTTTATAATTAGAACAATGATGATGATGATAATGACGTTAGTACTATGGATTAATGCAATATATATGTATAGTCTTATCTTCTCTTTTATACAACCGCTTTTCAATATTATCTCTTTCAAAATTATTTTTGAAGTATCTGTCATATTGTGATACGGTCTATATTAACCATCTAATGTAATAAATTCTGGCATAGATATTTCTCACATCAAAAGATTATTATATGACATTCAATAACCACTCCTTCTGAGAATGAACAAAAAAACAACAACCATTTACATTCAATATGTTCACAATAGTAGACAAACATTAATCTTATCACTGATAGAAATCAAAGTAATTAATTAATTATTTTTGTATTTATCATTGTAATGCTGTTTTCACCAGTACCTATATAGGTATAGGTATAGAACCATAAAATGCTTGTCTTTAATTTGGCAAAACAATATTAGGAGAAAATAAATCAACACACAAGACAGTTACAAGTTGTAATTTACGCAAGACTAAATTGTTTGTATAAATTTAATAATTTCAATACATTATACTTGGCAATCAAAACAAAATAGTATGAAACTAAGTAACTATAATAGTATGATTAAATACAGGTAATAGAATCTCTCTCTTTTGTTCATCGTAATGATCTTTTTTGAATATCCCTCCGTTTTCTTTGTTTTACTGAATTAATATGTATTTATTGTATTATGAATTAATTGGTTACAAAAGTTGAATATAGTTTCAATAGTAACAAAAAGTACATTTGTGTTGAATTCGCTTAATCCCACCCCCTGGTTGTTTTTTTAAATATTTTCTCGTTGTTTTAAATTAATTATTGAACAATGAATTGTTCAATGTTTGTATACACAATGTAGCTAATATTGTTCAAGTGTATATTATTGAGTTGTTTTACTGAAGTAAACAAAAATATACATAGTACTCATACTTTCAAAGAATCATTTTATGAAAGAATGAAATTACGATAGTAAAGATATCTTCTCTAATAACTATTCATCTTGAATTCATATTCAAATCAGATTCATTTGACATTGTTGTGGTTGTTGACAAAGTTGTTGTAGCTGTAATAACATTAGTAGAAGTAGTAGTACTAGGTGTAATAGTATTAACTGAATGTGGTATAACAATAATATCAGTAATATTTGAAAATTCTACTGGTGCTTCTAAATCATGTATTGGTTCACCTTTTTCATTCCAAAATGGTGATCTTACACGTTCACCTTTACGTTGTCTAAATGCCATAACACGAAAAGCATTATTTAAATAATCTCTTAATTTACCTAAAGCCATTGGTTCGGTAAAAAAATATCCTGAACCAAATTGTAATTGTGCTTGACGTAATACAGCACTCATTACAATTGGATCAATTGGTGCTTTACCTCCGGAACCATTATAATTATGTGTAACTAAATAATGTAAACTAAATAAACTTTGTAATAGACGTAAACATAAACGTGGTCCTAATTCATGTGGTTCACCACGTACCATTGTTAAACATTTACAATATGCCCATAATGGTAATGCAACAGATTGTACACCACCAATAAATATTTCACGTGGTTCATCAGGATTTAATACAACTACTGGACGATCAATTAAATTATTACTCGTATTGTTATTATTATTATGCTGATGATTTCCACGTAAGTTTGATACAGAAGAAGACAGTAATCCATTAGTATCGTTTATATTGGTTTCAGGAAATTGTAGATCAGTTAAGAAATTTGACTTTAATTTTTGATCTATTATTGATGAATATGTTGGCGATGATGCTGACGATGTCGTAATTTGTGATCCTAATGACAGGTTCGACCAATGAGAATTAGGAAAATTTATTGTTGATCTACGAATAGTTTTCAATGCAGATGTTGCCATTATTGAATTGAAATGATTTGGTTTATTACATAAATGTAAACGATTATTAGATAGTGAATAATTTTGTGGATATCTATTGAGGTTTAAAGATTTTGTTTTAAGACGTCCAAATTTATTACCACGAAAACGTAGAGAAGATGATGATGATATTGGCATTACTGTTGGTGAAGTTGATGATGATAAAGAGGACGATTTACGATTAGAATTCAACAAATCATTTGGATTATATTCTGAACTTGACAAAAACATTGGTGAATACAATCGAGAGGATTTGTGCTAAATTAAAATTTGGAAAAAATAATAGGAATATAAAACTAATTATAAGTCAGGTACGACACAATTTATGAAACGATATGAATACTGATCATTATTATTATTATTACTATTATTATCATTATAAGCAAAGATGGGTTGTGGGTAGCAGTGGAATACAGGACTCGCGTTTCACCCTATTCTGGGACTCGTCAGCTGGGTGTACCTGCATCCCAGAGTTGATGTTCACTCCAGGACTCAAACTCAGAACCTTTCGCTCCAAAAGCCATCGTGTTATCTACTTAGCTATTGAGTCCTGATAGCCACGTGTTTGTGCAATGAGGTGAAGTTTAAATTCACTTTGAAATTTCGAGTAAAAGGTCAGTTTCCTTGACGTTTATACTGTTTATTAGTTGGATACTGTCTATGAGCTTAGTTTAAGGAAATAATGAATAACTCATACTGAGTTATGCAAACAAAGATGTAGTTATTTGTTTGGACTGACATTCTAAACTGAAAAATCATTTAAATCTATCAAGACCTGGATAACAGTTTCATTCTAATTTAGGAATTTCGAGAAATGCATACACGCGACCGCACATTGGTCAAGACTTGAACATCATGTGGTTAAAACGATTAGTAAAGGCAAATGATACTATTTAGCAGCTTATGTCAAATTAATTGGATATCAGGGCTCAAGTGGTTGATTGATATTAATTTACTTTAACCACCCATTCATTAATAACTGATATACACTTTTATGGATAGATTGTTGTTGTGCATAACGACAATCATTGTCGTTATGCACAACAACAATCATTGTGTTTCGAAACGAATCTAGAATGCTGAAGTTTAAAAATCAGACCATACAGTGTCAGCAACTTGAAGCATTTCAACTTTAGAAATTAGTCCAATGATCAAGTCTTTGGAAATTCGGTTGCTAAAACAACAATTCACTTAATCGTCAAATTATATCCAATGAGAAAAATACATTGATTGAATAAAACTTAACTGAATTAAATATTATAACAGTCAGACATAATATTTAATTGTAGCAGCAAAGATAGAATCTTAAATTAAGCCTTCATCAGTAAGTCATTGTGTTTCTGCTAATCACTGACTTAGATGAATAAAATATTCATATTTTTATGCGAATATCTACACGCATGGATTTTGGTGGATTTTTGTTTTCTGACCTGGATGGTTTAGTCATGGAGCTTTCATCTTTATTCTGAACGAAATCACCAGCACAAACTTCAGGAGTTCTACCCGAACAGAGATTAAAACTCCACCAAAATCATCCACCAGAGCTACAAATCTCTTCCATCATCTCAATGTTGATGGAACTTTAATAAATTATTTGTATCCTTCTTTAATTACATGGACATTGATTTATGAAGCATCTTATAATTGTTCAAAAAGTATACTTTAAAGTCAGCGGAACTAAAAGTATCTGTAAAGTAATGTGAGGAGAAACTGTAAAACAAACCTGAAAGTCAATAGGATCATTTATCAGTAGATAGAAGTTTAATTTAATTTTGACTTTTTATGTTAAATATGTTTGGCTAATTTTTTATACTAAGTGAAGTCGAACGTGAAAAGTTTAGAAAGTGAATAAATATATTGCTAATTAATATTCATTTCGATTCAATTAAAAATACTTGACAAGAAAATAAACAGAATCAGAAGGTGTTTTGTAGAAATTTCAGTATTTTCATAGTTGAAATCATGAGTCAATTGAAGTTAGACCACCATAGGAAACCTGGAAGAACTGAACGGCCGTTTGGTCCTATTATGGGAGTCCTCAGCAGTTCGCATCCATGATCCCGCCTCGCGAGATTCGAAACGGCCATCCAGTGCTTTCAGGTTTTCTATGGTGGTCTAACTTCAATTGACTCATGATTTCAACTATGAAAAAAAATAAATAGAATTTTGTTAATGTAAATCTAATTGGAATGATAAACAAACAATCTACAACAATCTACCTTCAATTGATTCATGATTTTAACTATCAAAATTACAATAATATCCACAAAACCCCTTCAACTATGATATTTACGCTTAGAAAATTCATTAAACATAAGGGATTAAGCATAATTCCAAAAAATAAAAAAAGCAAAACTTATAGACATCTGAAAATAAGCATTAGAATAAGGTAAAATCACACAACTAGACTGAAAGTCTTCCACGGTTATGATAAAAAAGAACCATATTGATCGTTACTAAATCTAATGATTATCTAGAAATATAAATAAATTAATATATTTGTAATATCCCAATGAGTAGAAAAATTAGATTTTCTGACGTTTCGTGACTCAATGTAAGCCAGTTCTTCAAGATTATCTAGAAAGTTTGTTTAAACCTGTGACAGTACATAAAAATCAGAAATGTATTACAATTTGGAGAATGGTTTCATTGGATCATAATGATGGAAATTCACATATATCAGTAAGATATTTAATGACATTGAATAAGAAATATGATGTAAAAATAATGGGATAATCAATAGATAAGCAAAGCCTAATAAATATTAATATTTATAGAATGAATTTAGAGTCATTTTCAATAAATAAATGAATCAGAAGGGGGTTTTTTCAGTATCGGATGCCGGCTCAGTGGTCTATCAGTTAAGTGCTCTGGCGCGAGACTGGTAGGTCCTTCGTTTGAATCTCGTGAGGCGAGATCGTGGTTGCGCACTGCTGAGGAGTCCTACAATAGATCGAAACGGCCGTCCAGTGCTTCCAGGTTTTCCATGGTGGTCTAGCTTCAATTGACTTATGTTTCAATTATGAAAATAAATGAATTCCTAAGATCCAAACAATTTACACTAACTTAACTGATTATGATTGTTTAGAAGAGTAAAATTCTTGGTATTTAAATTTATTGAATTGATTTGAAATTATTTTCAATGACCTACTGGGATAATGAAGAGAGTCTGATAATTAAGAACAATGTAACAGCTATTTGATTCTGGTTTCATAATCCACAATTATAGAATAGTTTAAAACTACTAAGCATTTTACAACTGCTGAAAATTCTTAAACTACCATCAAACTGCTGTTTATCTATTGACAATTTCCAATATTTTCCTAGCTGTTTTCAGGAAGTCAGGAAAACTTTTATATTTTAAAGAATCTACATTTGTTGGTCAATTTGTTATAAAAATTGACAATTTTTCTGACTGAACTCTTGAATCCGTTTCCTAAGCTCTTCTTATAACCCAGGCTAAATCTACACTACAACCTGAACAGGAGAGATAAGACGAGAAATATGGGAAGACCGCTTTATTCCAAAGTTAGTTGAAGCGCAGAAAATTGAATGTATTTATAGAATTTCAGATGGCTCCGGGTTTCTGGAAGGTTCTGGAACCATAGTGAACATAGTAGCGGGATGGGTAATCATCCAATCAAAAATGTGATACATGACTCTTCACTTTCTAGGTGTTTCTGAGAAACATTCATTGAATGCTGATTGGATGTTTTTCATCGTTTTCAGGACCGCTTACGGTTTATTTCAGGGAGCTTTCTGAGTCTCTCCAATAAGTTACTTGGTGAAAATAAGAAGGTTCAATCAACAAACCCATTAGTGAAAATTAATTATGAACATGAAATCACTCAAATCTTTTTCGTCTTTTTTCAAAAAAAGTTAATACTACCAGTAAGTAATAGTGACGTTGAAATCTCAATTTTATGTTTATGAAATAATTTTATTTGAATTATGATGTGATTTTTGCAGATTGTACCAAATGAAGCAAACCTCTTTATTTATTTCAATAGTGTAATAAGAAGGCGAAGATTATCAGAACTATGTGATAAGATATTAGTGCGATACATTTCGAACAAGCTGATCACACATATACTTGTTAAGAACATTTATATCTAAAAATAAAAGGTCAACTAGACTGGAAATGGTGGTGGTGGTGGGGTTTAAGAGGAGACAAGGATAATAATCTAGACGAAAATTCTTATATCTTCTTAACAAGTATATATGTGATCAGATTGTTCGAAATGTATTATTCTAATATCTCATCACATAGTTCTGATAATCTTCGTCTTCTTATTACTACTGTAGTGTGGTCTACTTATATCCATATAAGTAGTATATGGTGTGGGTCAGACATAGAATGTATTTTGGCAGAAGACCGGTGAGGAAAGAACTGAAATGAAGCGCAATCGTCTGGAAAATGAATGAGAAATGGAATTAGAGAAGAAACAGTGAAGATTGAAACAAATTGTTGTTAATTTGCAAATTGACTGTTCATTGTTTGGTTATCAGAATTTACTGAGATAGTCTGTAATCTTTGCTTAAATACATTCGATTGTCCCCAACCAGTGTTCTGTTCACTACACTACATTATCGAAATTTATTAAAGGGACTAATTGGTTTAAATTTCTTTATATATTGATTGTCATAAAATCCAAGCTTTTCTTTAAGCCAGTTTCTATCACAAAAAATGGAATATAAGGCTTGATCTATTATATGTTTAACTTGATTTTTGGGAAATGATATTTATTAGACAATATTTTTAAGAGTTTACAAATGAAATCAAGTTATCATGGAATTTCAACTTTAAGATTGAACATTTACTCGTCTTGTGGTGTGGTCTACTTATATCTACACAAGTAGTATATGACGATGGTCAGACATAGAATGTATTTTTGCAGAAAACCAATAAGGAAAGAACTGAAATAAAGCTCAATTGGTAGGAAAATGCATGAACAATGAAATTAAAGAAGATGGACTAATATTTACAAAAGGAACATTGAAGATTAAGACAATTGATTGTTATTTTATAAATTAACTGTTGATTGTATGATTATCAGAATTTAGTTATAGTCTATAATTTATGCCTAAATACATTCGATTGTCCCCAGTTGTGTTTTCATTCATAACAGTCTAATAAATCATTGCAAATAAGCTATATCTAGTCATTCAACTAGTAATCTTTTTTATAAAAAAAAGAAAAAAAAACCTGGTTAAAACGTTTTGTAAATGTGAAACTTTGACATCTATGAAGACAATGC